TTTTTAAAGTTAAAACTTTCTTTTTTCCTTTAAATTATGACTTTTTATGTAATATCAACATTCTAGATAATTAAAATTTGATAATTCTAGATCCCGATTTCGGTGTTGCAAGCCGTCCAGCGCCTTCTGACCAACAATGCCAAGGCCCAGGCTCCCGCTCCACCTCCGGAGGAATAATTTGACTTACGAAATTTGTGAATGACGCCACGCTCCAAAAAACCTCCTAATGCATTTTCATGCCTATATAATAGTTTTATATGTAATATAATGATTTGATAGAAGCGCAATTTTTAATTGTGAGGTAAAAACGCACACAACGCCTCAAGGTTGCACTTTTTTTGGTACTTTCTCACTGCGACCAGCAAAGCATGACAAGAAAGCAGAACTGCAAAAATCGACCATGGCTCGCTTTTTGCTCTCTCTGCTTATAACATCGAAATCCAATGTATACTCTGAGATAGTTGGTAAATAAATTATATGATTTCCGTGTATCCATGGAGAACTAGTTGTGTTGTGATTTGAAAGTGCACACCGATGACCAATCCATTTAATATTTTGTGTCTCGCTGCTGGCGTGTGACGGGAATCCTGAGCGGGGAGCTCTTGCACAACTCACGTGCCGTGCAACGAGACGGCACTAGGAAGTGATTAGAAGCATGATAGCATTATGAAACATTGCATTAAGTTATTCATTTGCCGAGGGGGATTATTAGGCTCTTACTCAGTGCAGTAATTGTTGGGTAATTAGTCGCTGTGTTTTGCACTTCCAGAGCCTTCTATTTAGAGGGCCTTGAGAATTAAAATTTATTTTCATTGGTCACATAATATTAAATGATATCAAATGAGCAAGGATTCTCAACACCAAGCAATAATTAATTTAATTGAAACCCAATCTTACATAAAAAATGAATTCAGTGAAAAAACTGGAAGTCAATTTTAAGCAAGCAATTTATTATTATTATATATTTTTTTTTGTAAAATGTAAAAAAAAAAATATTTGTAAGAAATTTTTCATCATAAAATTGTTCTTAAATATTGATACTTCAATCGTTTACAATTTTTTTCCCTCTTTTGATATTATATAATATGTATATGAATCGTTTTTCTTCTCTAGAGCAATTTATGTACTTTTATTTATTTTTTTATTTAAAAAGTTCAATTTACTGATTTACTCTTTTATAACTAACAAATCAGTCCCTTATATTCCAGACAGGTCTGAACACTCTATAAGTTACTAACTGCAAGCTCTTGAGCAATGAACAATGGTCATATTATATCACAATTAGTTCAATTGTATAACAAAGCTGAGCGCACTTGATATACAATAATTCAAAAGAGCTTTATAATGCTACGGGTGCTATTGTAAGTTGAAATTAATGCACATCATGCATAGAATTTAAAATGCCACCAAGAGAAAGTGAAATGTACATGGACAAGCACAATCAAAGCTTTAAAAAATTTCGCAAGTGCATTTAAATATGTCTGCAACATAAAAAAAAAATGATCAATCAAATATTTTGAAAGACAAATATGAAATATAAGAAAAATATAGTGCATAATATTATCAGCAATTTTTTTATTTTGCAGCCTCACCTAAATCTCTGTGGGCAATTACAAAAATAATTGCACCACAAAACAGTCCAAGGCCACCTCTGATTGTGAGAAAAGAAATTTACGCGAAACGCAATATATAGATGTAATTTTAAATTAAGGCACACGAAACCCGGAGAAAAAGTGTGTCCAAATTGCATTTCTTGTAACTCACTTTGGCCACAACGTTTTTTTCCTTTTCCCGTTTGGTGGGCATTACGCCGGTCGTTGGCAGTTTTTGCGAGCGCCAGGCCGTTTAAAATCTGATTGTGAGCACCTGAGTCGGTTATCAAGCGGCAGTCTGCTCCGAACAACGCCTTAGGGTGAAGTTTAAATATTTTCCGGGCCACGTGGTCGCACTCCTGCGAGTACGCCACGCTTCTTGGAACGGGTGTATTATTGCTCCACGGGAAAAAAGCGGAGGCCGTATAGTTGGGCCGGAATGGGTGACCAGGGAGACGTCAGCCCAGATGAAATTGCCCTTTGCTGCAGGAGCCGCGTCGGGCGCAGACCAGCAGACGGCCGAGTGCGTACGTGCAATTGGGAAGGTCGATTGTGTTCGCAAAATGTGCATCGTTTCAATTGATTTTGTCTGATTGCTTCCTTTGATACTCTCTCGTTATAAATCCTTTTATTTTCAACAAGAGAAGATTTTTAAAATTAAAAACAAATGGTTACCTCTCTGGTTGATAAGATTTACGCTTCGTAGGTTATCCTACAGTTCATATTTCGCTAACCTATAATTTACCTGTATAGGGAGTGCCAATTATTTGACAGGTATCAATAATTAGTTTAAACGTGGGAGAAAAATATTTGTTTTGATAAATATCATTTATAATTTTTGTTACTAGGAAAGGATATTTGTTTGTTGTTTGATGCTCTTGAAAATTTGCTTGCAGCGTCATATCATTAAGGGTTTGCAGATGATTAACTTTTTTTTAAAGAAATTTTTATTGTCAAATGAGATAATTTAATTTTAAAGAAGATAAAATGAACTTTTTAGTGTAATTGTAAAATTTGCTCCTAAAATTTATCTTGCCATTCTAAAAAACAATTATTTGCCAGAAAAAGTTTTGAAAAAATTGATAATTATTTTAAACTGCTAAATTATATATTGTAAAATTAAATCAACACTAACATATAATGCAAATTTACTAAATCAATGCATACAAAAATAAATGTGTTGGCCTGAAATTGATCCTGCATCATTTAATATAATTTATTCTTTTTTACTGTTGAATATTTAATTAAATAAATTATTGTTTTATATTATTTATTTATAATTGAAACTATTAAAATCACATTACTCCATAGGTTGGTGATTTTAATAAGTAATTTTTTTTTTGTATTCAAAAAGGGAATGTGAAAAATTTTTTGAAGCCTGAGGATCATTTAGGTCAGTTGCTTTGTTAAATATCGATATTTTGATATTTATAATGGAAATCTAAATGATTACTCTGAATAAAGTTTAAAATTTTTAATTAGAAATCTAAGTTGTCCATAAACCAAATTCTGTTTCTTCTTTTTTTGCGACAAAGAGGAAACAGGTCAGACGTTGTTTATTTTACTGGCGCACTGATATGAAGTTAAACCAGATTCCGCAGGCAAAATGTTTTTGCCAACGAGTTCGGCGCACATCCATGTTTCCTCTGCACAGAGTGAATTGCTCATGCCACGAGCATACAAAGGAGCAGCTTATGCTACTTTTTCCCTTCCACGCTCCATCTCATCTTTTGTGAGAAGAGAAAAATCTGATTACACGCCGAGCACGATATATATTTATCCGGGTGAAAATAGGCTGAGGGGCCGCGTCGCGCGAGTCTCAAGACGTTCTTTATTTTGGCGCGCAGAGTGTCAAAAATTGTAATGAAAACACACGCCGCGCTCTCTCTGCTTGTGCATAATTTATATTCATAGACACGAAGACTTTTATCCACTTGCCGAGTTGCGCGGAAGGTGAGCTATGCTCGTAAAATTCCTCATCGCAGACGCTCTCGCCAGTGCGTCAATTTTTAATTTTCAGCCGAATTAGTGAAAACACGGTGGGGGAGAAAGTGCATTTTGTCTCGGTGGGCGCGGCGTGACTGAATTATTAAGTTTTAATACGAAAAATGCAGTGGAGCTGCAAGAAAGGGGAATTTAATGACTGTAATTCTAGCCCTTTAAATGACAAAGGGTGCGTCTTATTAAGAAGTAATTTTCATTCGACGTCTTTTGAGCGTACTTTATTGAGCGCCAGAGCAAACGAACATGCTCTTGTTAATTTTTACTGTTATTTGAAAGGAAAACAAAAAAGTTTTTAAGAGCAAGCGCATGGAAAAATCTTTGAACCTTTAAGTTTTAACTGCATTTATGATGTTTTGTTTCCAATCAAATCTCAATATTAAAAAAACTTTCATAAAATTTTGAAAATAAAAGCAAAAAATTTACGCTACTTAAAAAAAAAAAATACAAATTAATGGCACTGATAAGTTTTTTTTATGGCAAATTTTCTTAATCTTTTTAATTATTTCAGTTTATTAGGTGTTGATTTCAATATGTATTCATTAAGTTTATAAAATTCTCCATGAAATTTAATTCTCAAGAATATCACGATTTTTTACATATATTTTTAAAGTACAATTTCAATTGCAGGCAGCAAAATTTACCCTCTTCGAAATTTTTACATACACTAGATAGAGGTAAATAATAAATGATACGGTCAAGTGCATGCAGTACCTACCCTTCGTGTCTCTCTTTGGAGAAAGGCAACGAGTACGTACCGGTAAAAATTTCAGGGGCAATTGGCACGCAAGTGCCGTGGCTGCCTCCCCATCCAGACGCACAAAAATAAAATTGCAGCCAGGGCGAAAAGCCATTCATTCCGACGCGCCCACCCTCGTCCATCTAAAGCTCTCTCATATCGCACACTCGGACTACTTATATGATTGGTCATAACTGCACTTCATGTTCTGATAATAAATTTGCCGCGGGTCCCTTTCCGGCAATAATGATTCCAGAGAGTCCTTCTCTCTTCTTTGAATGTGCTCGAGAGCATTATACAGTTTTTTCGGTCGGCCTGAAATATGGCCTATGGACGGACCGTCATAAATATCAATTTATTGCGATCCAATATTGCCGGAGAGAGACACAAAAAATTCAATAAAATTTTCGCATAAATATTAAGCAGACTCCTCTCTTTTCTCCTTCGTTCTTTTTCCCGTGGTCAAAGAGGAAAAGCTCATCATCGTGCCTACTTTCAAGCAAGCTCGTTAAAAATTCTCTTTTCCTTTCTTTACCACTCAAGTGAACCACATAAGTGTACAAAATTCATTTACTATTGATCAGGTTTCAACCATCCTGATTGTGATAAAAAAGAAAGATTTTTAGTTTGTGTAAAATTCACATATAAAATTAAAAATTGCTAATTAATTTAAAATTAAACGCAAAATTGCATACGTTTATTACTGTACGAAAATAAAAATATATTAACCACAAGTTTTACATGATATGGCAAAATATAATAAATCATTTATCAACTGAAAACTTGTAAAGCGCGGTGTGTTTATAAATTTGCCCAGGCAGAAGAACCGAGTCTGGAAAGTTTTCCTGCAAAGAGAGTTCTCGGCTGTCTCAAACACCATCTGATATTTTATTTAATAATTTATTCTTACTGTGTTTACGGCGTTTGGATAATTCTGCGTCTCTAAGCAAAATCCTCCATGCTTCTTATAAAAGCAGCCTCCCTTTCCTGGCAGCGAGTTGTCCTCGGGTATGAAATTAGCGGTGTAAAACTGAACGCCCGGCTGGTCTGTAAATACCTCCATAACCCTTCCGCTCTTTGAATGTGCTGCCCTATTACCAGAATAAAAATTTAAAATAAAAATGTCGTAAAAATATATTATATTTTAAAGAGAACCTTCCAACGAAGAAAAGATTATTCTTTGCTTTAGTCTGGATGACGCAAAAATTGTTGTCGTAACCGTTTTCAGGCGTTAGAGGAAACACGTCCTTAATGACTTTCGGAGACTGCAAGTCAAAAGCCGTGCCCTTGACGGCAGCTATTTCGCCTGAAATTTATTATGAGTGCTTCTTTCATTTTAGGTTTCACTCAATGTCACTGACCTGTTGGAATTGTTTCTACGGCCGGCGTGTAATAATCAGCATTCAATTTTATCTCGTGGTTGTAAAATTCACTTGCACCTTGGTCCTTATTTTCGTACAAAAAAATTTAATTGCACCACCAGCAAAAAATGAAACTTACGTGCCCGGCTAAATTGAAGTACGCGTGATTGGTGAGGTTGACAGGAGTAGGTTTTGTGCATGTAGCGGTCATCTCGAGCGAGAGTTCGTTGTCCTCGTTGAGCGAGTATGTTGCGTTCACCAGCAAATCGCCGGGATAACCTTCTTCGCCGTCTTTGCTCACGTACGAAAAAGTTACTTTTGGGCCATCAACATTAGCCGACCAGATTTTCTGTTTGCCGAGAATCGTGCAAAAAATTAATAATTTGGCCCTTAAATATAGAAATCCGTTACTTTGTCAAATCCTTTGAGGCCACCGTGCAGGTGGTTCTGGCCGCGATTCGCGGTCACTTTGTACGTTTGACCTTTGATGGAAAACTCCGCATTTTTAATCCTGTTGGCCACTCGACCCACCACGGCTCCGAAATATGGGTTTCCACTTAGAGTGTAGCCTTTTTTGGAGAAGCGGTTTTATATAAATTTTTAATAAAAGTGTGCAAAATATTTCATACCTTTCATATCATCAAATCCGAGGTTGATATCGGCGATGGTTCCGTTTTTGTCGGGAATATTGATTGTGGTGATGGTGGCTCCATAGTTAATGATTTGCACGGACACATTTTTACTATTTTTCAGCGTAAATCTTCTCACCGGCACTGATGTTTTCGTCTCCTCATCGAGAAACGTGCCAAATGAATCCTCGACAATGGGCATTTCCGCGAGTTTTAGCTCTTTTTACAGCCGGCAGCACTACTACTTCTTCTTGCTCCTCGTTTTTCGTTACGAGTGGGCTGAACTTAAGCGGCTGAAACTCTTCTTCGGACTGATAACAGCTGAGAGTGCCAGAAGGCGCGGCACTCCACACTTATATATTATGTACCATTTAATTTCAAGGGCATTCAATGAGAGATAATTTAAGGCGCCGCGCTCATATATTCGATAGAGACGTTGGCCGACCGCATCACGCACAAATACACTGAGAGAGCAAACAACCAAGATGAACTCTGCAAACAATCATCATAATGCACCAGGTTTATAAGCTTGGCCGCATTCTATAAAGTATATCATGTTTATAAGCACATATTAATTTTTTCTGGTGGGAAATGAGGAATGAAGATCTAAGCTTCATATTCATAAAGAAGCAGTTCAATAACGATATATGCATATGAATAATATATGCATTTAGAAATTATTTATTTACACAATTATAGCCACAGAGTTATTTCTATACCGCGGTTTATTTGTCTGCTTCATTATAATATTATTTTAATTTGTTAAGTACGGTCAATATTGAAATATATTATCGAACAGACGGACCTCAGTGTGAAGATTACTATAATCTGCTATAAGCTTTTCAAAGGTTTATGCCACTGATTTATTTCATATTTTTAATATATTAAATTTAAAAAAAATTAATTATTTAATAATCATATTATTTGAAAAAAATAAATTTTTTATAAAATAAAATTTAAAATGTTATCACCTCTACATTTTAAAATTATAATTATAATAATTCCCTTTTTTAATGCAATTATTATTATATTTAATATCTTTTTTGCTTTACCTTTTAATTTATTTTTTATTTTTAATATTATATTTTTTCACTTCTCATTTTTGGTTTGGAAAAATACAATACAGGGTAGAGGATTTCTTTTCATTATATTTTTTATTTGAGAATATTGTTTTTAGGTTAAATAGCATTAATTTGTTGAATCAAAACATCTCGATCAATGATCAATCAATTTTTGTTTGAAACTTTGAGTGCAGCTGCAGCGTGAAGAGCTTTAACAGCAGAATTATACAAACAGGTCTGAACGTGATCTTATTATGGCCCATGTGCAAGTTGCAATTTCATATAGAGGCATCTCATCTCCCTATAGTTTCTTCTTAAAACTTTCAAAGTTTACCGGAGTTGCAGTGACGCGCCTTAGGAAAGTAGAGCATTCTGGGTAACAAAATGCATTGTGGTCCTGAAGCCATTGAGCGGCTCCTGTTTACGCAGATGTTTGCGTTCCCAGCGCCGCCTCGGAGAAGCAAGACTCGGCAAATAATGTTCCGTGTGGCTAGAGCGATCATTTGTGATAATGTGTTTCCTCGGTGGGTTTTCGCAGCAAAATTTATTCATGGTCAGCCGCTGAAAGCTTTTTTCGTCTGAACGCGACTGGATCCGTTGCGAGAATCGAAATGTACTTTCGAATTAATTTTATTCGGGCGTGTTTTTATTTGAAGTTACTTCAAGAAAAAAAAAACAACAACAAACATTTAACGTTCAAGGCAGTGGAGAACACAACACCTAATTTAGCCAGAAGTCTGTGAATTTTTTTCGTCGGTCACATTATGAACAGTCGCGCAGCACTCAGCCTACTTTTCCTCTACACAAAGGACTCTCGTGGATGGAAGAACAGAGAATGCAAGCGCTGGCGGCACCACTTGGAATAAAAACGCAGAAACAACCGACAAAACAAATGTCACGAGCAGGTTGTAACAAACAAATTGAATAGCAACAACCAAAAGCGCGGCCGCGGTTGTGTCTGCGTGCATTTTTTAATTGGTTTCCGGCAAAATGAGGAGCCTACTTTGATGCGCACCAGCCTCGCAGGGAAACCGCCGCCGCCTAATGTGAAATTACGATTTTAATTATGTTTTCATCTCATTTAGAACAACGCGCCACCACCGTCGTTGTGTTGCGCAAGCAGGTATTTTGTGGCGCGTAATTATTTTTTATGACCCGCCGCGTAATTGTGTTTTTCGGGAGGCTTTTAAAGCTGATACGCGCTGTGATAATTCAAATGACGAAGAGCTTTTAAACCGTAATCAGCATCTGATGGCAAATTACACAGCTTTTTGTGCGTTCACCCACGCAGGCCTGCTGATTGGTACAAAAAATGGGGTAAGTGGAAATTATGGTAAAAATGCCTACCTAACGAACAAAAGCTTAGATAATTTATAGTGACAAAAATTATTATGTTCAATACAGAAAACAGGATTAAATTACAATGCAAAATCTTTTTAATTATGACTTACCTAACGCTCAGCAAACGATTTTAGTTGCATTTAAATATTTATCGGCAAGTATACGTTAAAAATGAATAAATGATCTCACAACTGCAAGATAAATCATCCTCTTACTTATTTGGTCATAAACAAGAGAAAACACAATTTATTTTTTCTTATCTCGGCTTCTCTCCATTTTTCATAAAAATTTTTCTCAAGAAAGAGAAAGAGTACACCATAATAACTCCCTAATTACTATAATGGAAGGTTGTAAAGCATTTTTAATAAGGAAAGTTGAAAAAATTTAAACAAACGAATTTCTAGAATTTTACCTTGTTTGTTTGCAATGGAATTTGTAGAGTTTGCTAAAATTTAAGCAGAAATGAGAGGCTCATTAAAGTCATTAAAAATATTTTATCTCTTCTTCATATTTAAAAATTGCAATTTTTAAAGGTTGAACCACCTGTGTATCGACATGAAAAACAAATTGTTTTCCATTAATTGTGTTAATTGAAAGAAATCGCTTTTCAGAGGCTGGAGTACCACTTGAAGTGAAAGCGGGGTGCATAAGAGGCGAGGGGCTTTCTCACGTGGAAGGGGGCGCCGGCAATAACTTAAGTGCGGGGTGACGCTAATTACGGCGTCGTCCCTTTCGCCTGAACACGCACAAGAGCAGCGCGCTCTTTGTCTCGCCGTTCTGCTGCCTCGGCATTCTGCATTTCCGCACTTTTCCTTTTTTGCCCTCGCACACTCGAGCAGAAAGTTTCTTTTCTTTATTCAGTGACGAGAAAGCGAGAGTGAGTGCCGGGCTGAGCCACATAATTTGCGCGCCCGCTTTCGCATTTGGCTGCGCGCCTCTTTTTGAACTTGCAATTTCGCATCGTGGGCCGGATGAGAGAATTCCCTGGGGCAAATTTTTGATTCGGTCTTTGTGCTCCAAATTTGGTTCCCTTTTGCATTTTCAAATTTACACGCACTGAACGTGAAAATTAGTGGTAAAATAAATATGACAGAATTCCAACAGATTTGTTCTTTTTTTAATTGATGGTCATATTTATCAATTTGAAGACCAAGAACTTCAAAACTTCAAACGGGACATTAACTGTTCTATAATATCAAGTATATGTTAAGTTGCATTTTAGATTTATTTTATAATAGGAAATACACCTATTTTTTGTATTTACTTAAATATATACCTACTCTAGTACCCAATTTTATGATGATGATGATGATTCAATTTAATATAAATATACATACTACATCAAAATAAAATATTTTTACAGTACAATTTCATACAATTTACTATGAAATAAATTTTTTTAAATTCTATTGAAATCTCAACTCACTTTATATTCTTATTAATACACATTACACAGTTATCCAATTATCAAGAATAAGTCACCACACCAATACAATGAAATATGCTTCTATTGAATAGTGAAGCAAGTTAAAACCATTTTTAACTTTGTCGTGGCCATTATTGGAATAATAAATTTACTATATTGACACTATTCTATTGTTGCCTAGTTTCTACAAATTGTGCACCAGCAATTACATCGTGCATCAGCAGTTAACAGTTACAATGTGCTTTACCTCGCGTCGCTGTTTTTATTTCTGCGGCAAAGCTGCAACGCGGCCCTTTTGGCTACGGAAGCTGATGATGTGATTTCGCTGCAATTGCTTTTTGCTTTTATCAGCATAATTTGTTGAAAAAAGCCAGCAAGCAGAGAGGAGCAAAAAATTGGCTGAACGAGATGTGAGTCATGTCAAATGCGAGTAACGAGAGCGCAAAATTGCAGAGAGCAGAGGAGAGAGCGTACTGTGATTTATGCAGCATGCAATACAGACATGGGTGGAAAAGTGAGCATTTTGCTGCACCCATGAGCTATAGAGAGAGCAAGTGGGGTGCGGCCTTTATTTATTTCGCGATGAAAAGGCCTGCGGATATGAAGTTGCTAACATAATGATGGGAACATCACCAATTGGTGTTTTTCTACGTTGCAATTGAACCCGGAGTTTTAATTGCATTATGCATCCCTATATTTTATCAGCTGCTCTCCATCCAAATGCAATTAATTCAGTATATGGAGTGACACTGAAAAAATTCCTAGATTGAAATTTATTATATTCTTTTATAATATTTATGTCGCCATAAATTATCGAGAGACTTGAAATTATTAAAACACCTTTTCCAAACCAAGTTTATAAAATTTGTAAACAAAGTGTTGAAAAATTTGAACTGATTGAATACTTTTGAACTTCATCATAAGCATCTCACTTTATTTACCGATTTAATTTTTGAATAGCGAATTATTAATTTCAATTTTTTTACCTTAATGTAAGCAACTTGTAAAGCATGTTTGCTACGCAGGTTGCATATTTCTTGTGGATCAAAATCAGCATAAATCAGCAACTTTCAGATAAATCATTGGACATAATACCTGTCAGGAATTTAATTTACTTTTTTTATCGCATTATCCAATTAGCGCTTTTTTCACCCCTCGTGTGAGCTCCAGACGTCGCACACAATAGATGAAGTGATGAAGATGCGGCCAACAACTCGAATGGCAAAGGTGCCGCACGCAAACGCCATAAATATTAATTCTAATGTGACACGGCCACGTGATCCCGCAATAAATATTAGCCATACATTCGGAATTAGACGACCATAAATAATTTCAGAAGAATGCGGCCGTATGAAGGAAGGAGCGTGTGCAAGGTAAGTATTTATTGCGGCGTGGGGAAGGAAGATTCAGGCGCATGTAAAGTAGAGAAGAGGGTCTGTTATTTTCTGCACTCGCCACTTATCGCCCGTGTTGCTGTAATTAATGGCTGTATCGAGTTATTCCATCTTAATTGGACTGAAAATTTATAACCTCGCGTCTGACAAGTCTATTAGCGGCTCAAATCAGGTTATTCGTTATTAGTAGGGAGAGACAAATGGGATTGCTTTTGTTTATTTCATGTGTGGGTGAACCTTCCGAAGCAATATGGAAAGTTTTCGTCAATAGTTTATTTAACTATTATTTCTCAGGCCCAGAACTTAATATAATCTGAAATGATACTAATTGTAATTTGAATAGAAAAATTTTCACAAAATTTCACACGCACGCCTACAAAACATAAATCCCTAACAACATTTATGTGAATTTTACTGCATTCATAATTCTTTAAAATTTTAATTGAAAATTAATAATGCAATGAATAAAGCTTGGAGCTTTACATGTTTTTTTGTATATTTAATTATAGGCTGTGTATTTTGGAATTGGATACAGTGGGTGTCAAATGCAGCGAACTCAATTTTATTATTGATTTTTTTTGCAAATGATATTGATTTTAAAATAGTTTTAAATAAATATTTATATCATTCCTGCAGATTATTATTTTGTTATCACACGAAAGTATATAAACTTTGCCACGAGATGGAATACGTTCTACTCAGCTCAACAAATCCCTCAAATCCAAATTTTAGGCCTCTCTCTTCTCACTCTGCCGACATCTGACTTGAAGCAGCTCAAAGTTTGTGGTACAAAGCGTGGCCCAGCACATCCAGAAAAGCAGGGTAGCAGAGATAAGAAGCCAGGGAGCAAATAAAATGCCCTCGGCTTTGCTTTGACTTGTAAATAAGCCACCATGAAACAAAGCCCATGACGAGCAGTCTTGGAGAAAAGCAAAGAATAAGTATAGAAAAGTTCCACATTGCTGCCAACTAGAGGGTTTTAACTTAAAATGCATTGTGTACAAATGGATAACGATCTTGTAAAGAACAAAACATCTTTTCACGCTTCGTTTGCAAACTAATGTAATTCCGATGAGAACCTGCAAGACAACAATAGCGGCCCTGAATGAAATCGAGCTGAATTAATTAGGGGGCAGATAAACACAACACAGAACAGCTTCATATAATTCACCAGCAGTAGAACTGGAATGCTAAAATAATATTGGATGGCACGAAAACAATCAGCTCAATTATACTTGACCACAGTGCAAATTTATAATACATGGCGAGTTGGAATTTCGAATAAAGCAATATGTGGTTTCAGCCCGAAGCAATAAAAAAAATTTCAACCCGTACTGGCGCTTATAGAAGTATTCTAGCAACGAAATAATTTGAGAAAAAACATGACAATAATTAATTAGCTCAATCTCAATATACTATAGAAAAACGTATTTATTTGAATAATAAAAATAAAGCAAACACGCACAACTCAAAAGGCAAAGTTCACCATGATTTCAATCTGATTTCTCTTTATAACATTAACTTTGATAGTGACTTTATTTTTCAATGATTTTAATGAAAGTACAACATAGGAATTGCTTATTGATTTAAGTAAGCCAATACATAAAATATTTAAATTTTGCTTATTTATATAAACTTTAAATAGATAATTTATTCAATTTGAAATTAAAACCAGACACTCAAATTATAAATTATTTATGATTTCAAAATTCCAGGAATAAACTATAAATCTGAGATCTTCAAACTCTACGATGCTTAGAACGGCGGCATATTTTACTCAAAACGTTCAAAACTGGAAAATCTGCTCGCTGGACTCCGGTTCACGCAGTTTTTGGAAAATATTTTTTTACAAAGCGTGCACGTTTTATTTGGTTCAGCTCGTTTCGCTTTGAGTGGAAATTTTTCCTTTCATATACACAAAATGGGTGAATTTTCCGCCTGCCAAACCTCGGTCGTGGCAGCAATAATTATAAATTTAGTGCCGCCGCGATTGTACGGGACCACCGACCACACTGAGAGAGCAAAATGTACTAAAACACACATACACAGACCACACTGCTTTTTGAATAGTGTAGTCTGCGAGATCGAAATGTTGTAGCTCTTTTCTTTATCGCTCTCGGTGAAATTCAGTTCAGAGTTTACATAAATGCAAATAGGTAGGCAACCAGCACTGCAGCCAGTCCTCGTAATAAATAATTACGCGTTCTTTCCCGTACGGCACCGTTGCGGCAATAAAGATAAAAACAGTTTATTTTTCTTTTAACTACCTTTTCTCGTTCGCCTGCTTGCAGTTGGGCGTGATGGTTTAAAAGCCAGCCAAAAATAATGGCCTCTTTTTCGGGGCGCGTAATTAAGTGGTCTTCTCTTTTTGGGAAACTCGTCTGAAGTTGGCCGGTTCAACCGCTGCTACGTGGATTCTGGTTTTTCTCTTTGCTCTTCCGCCTCTTCCCATCACCATCGTTTTATGAAAGTGCGCGTACGCCGACATTGCAGACCAATAGACCATATTTAAGTGTGTTAACCAGAGAGGAAACTTGCAAGTTAATCTCATTGCGGCACAAAACCTTAATATGTGAATATTTGTACTCAACCTGTTCTCTTTTAAAAAAATCTGATATTCAAAGTGTGGGCTCAACGTGAAATGTTGTCAATGTGAGAAAAATTGTCCTCCAGGGAAAAAAATGATAGTTTAGTTAACAGCAATAAAAATCGGAAAGTATAATCATATTTTGATTTACAAAAGGCAAGGACTAATCAAGAAATTCAGTTTCAATATTCTCTCTTAAAGTTTTCAAGCCTATAAATCCATTCTGCTTTTTTTACGAGAGCTTGTGAATTAAACTTAACCTAGCGAAAAACATTGAAACGCTTGGAAGCTAAAAAATATCATGAATTATTGCGTGAGACGTTGTGATAATTTCCGCGTAGTCCTACAATATAATCGTAGCAGACCTTATTTTCCAGTGTAATTTATTAAAAAAAATAAAATTGAGAAATTATTAAATCCGCTTTTTTATTGTTGAAAATTTCTTTGCAAACGAATATAATGCGGCTGTTCTCTTTACTTTCTTGCATAAAGTGGATAATTTTTCGTTCCTCACATCAATTTTTTGTGTTTCAAAAACAAGGACTGGAAATGATATTAAAAATATGGAAAACCCTCCATCAACATAGACTTAACATAGGGCGGGGAATGTGAAAACAGAAATAATTGAACGGCGAAAATTTTATTAAACTTTCATCTTCATGTTATGTTTTTTTTTAAATAATAATTAAAATTATTGGCAATCTTAAAAAAAAATACTTCCGATGTTGTTGATTAATTTTACCACAGAATATTAAAGAGGTATTTGATGTTATAAATAAAATACTAGTTATTATCCAAGTAGCTGTACATCTGTTGACATTTATTGATTCCATAATTTTTACAACTAAACAGCAACAGTTCAATCTTTTAATAATATTTAATCATTTAATGTGTATATTAATCGTGAGTTTAAAATTATTTTTCCACATTATCTTTTTCCATTCAATAATGACACTGGAAAATCTTTCGGTGTATGAGTGAGTGAACAAACGCGAATGACGATGCATTGATAAGCTTTTTAATATTACATAATTTGCACGTGAACCTTTTACTTGAATGCAGACGGAATAATTGATTCTCTGTCCATTTTGCGCAAAAGACGAAAAGTACAACAAAATTTGCTGTCATTATACAAAAATCCACGCTCGGCGTGTGAGTGCGAGCGGAAACGAATGATTAGATACACACATAAAACATAAATAACGTCGTACACTTGCTCCTCCTACACTTAGCAATTAATAATTTAACATTATCGGTCAGAGAGGGTGGCCTAGTCATAATTTTAGTCACTATATTATCATGAGTAAATCAGCGAGTCGCGCACAACGTCATACACTTTTCTCCAAACACACTTCTTCTTTCCCTACAAATGACCGACCAGCCTGTATATCTGCAAGGAATTTAACTTCGCCGCACAGTTTTATAAAAATAAGCGTCCATTTTGCTTAAGTGTTGAAAAACTCGCACTCGTCCCAAGGTCGCGGCTCGCCCTTAATTTTAAGTCATAAAAATCGATTGTTCGCTAAATGACCAAGTCTCCGTCGCGTGCGTTTTTATTTTCACACGCGCGCCCTCACTTGTTTACACCACATGAAAATGTTCAGCAAGCAGGTATGCGATTTTTTGTTTTCTTTGTGTCCACCAGAGCTGCATGACGCATCAGAAGGTGTCGTCTTGATGGTAATTGATGGCTCGCCGACGCAACCCGCTTACCTTATACACAAGCAGAAAAATTCTCTTTTCCCCCCTCTCTATCTCTCACAAGCGTGCACACACAGAGGAACCCACATCACGCCAGATAATTACACGGTATACAAAGAAAAATTGCTAAATTTTCGCCATGTAGAAATTCGCAGCTGACGAGAAAAAGCAGCAGCTCCTGCAACACACATTGGGCGACGCAACATGAGAGATGGTTTTTTGTAGTCATTTTAGATTAAATTTAATGAGGGTTTCAAGATTGAAAATACCACAATTAGGGTCCAGAAACGACATTAAAAATAAAAAATTAAATTAAAAAAAAGTAATTCAATCAAGAAGAAACAATATAAAATATTAAGCATCTTATATATTTTAATACAATCAATAGAAAAAAATTATTCAACAGAAGATGTTGATATTTATTAATTAATTTTGAAAGCTTCAGTTTACCTTGTCTCAAGACATGATGATGACTTATGCTAAATAATTTTATAAAAATTGATTGTATTTATAAAATACAAATTTATATTGTGGTAGAAGTTTTTAGATACTCACAAATAATTATTTCTAAGCAAAGTTGCAGCTTGCTATGAGCAGAGCGAGCAGCGGCAGAAGCACCGCCAGGTTGGCAGTCCTATGTGGCAGGTTGTGGGTGGCGGCGGACATTCCCTTGGTGCTGGCGTGCGGCCCTGCCTCGTCCATCACGTCGTTGGCCTCGTCGAGTAACGACTCTGCAAAGTCAAAGAGCGGCGATAAGCAAAAGTCATTATCGTCAGGCTCAAACTTGGCGAATAAAGAAAGTGGCAGCACCGAAAAATCGCACTTTTGCGATTTCCAGTCACGACCATACGCGCTATTTACGGGACGGACCTGCAGGGGTGTGACCCGCGTGTGTGTGTGCCGCTTAAATGTTATGTCTCACATAATAAAACCCCTCGGTGCTCTCGCAGATAAAAGAAGTGGCGCGGCCAAATAAAAGAGACCGAATTTGGCGGTCGTGATTTGGCGTCCGCGGGCGTAAAAGAGGCTCAGCGTTTTCCGGCACCCCCTGGGGGAAATGAACTGAACAGGTGAGAGGGATGGAGAACACCTTGTTTTCTGCTGCTGCATCTTTTGCATATAAATTGCAACGGGACACCGAAATTGGTGCTGCAGCCCCTCGAGACCGATTTTGGAAAATAACGCACTTTTCTCTGCTGTAAAAATATTTACGGGCGAGTGGGGACTCTGGCGAGAGAAAACGAATGCGCCCCAGCTGATTATGGCAGTTGGAAAAAATAAAAACTTCTTGTTTTTTGTACAACGATTCAATTTTTTCCTCCATCGTAAACGAAATAAATGTGATTTTGATTCACCGTGATGTAGCAATTTCGCAAGAGGCGCGCCTCTGTGTGTAATTTCTACGTCAGCAAACGACTCTGCTCGTTCGCGACCCACATTCGCTCACGCCAATTCCGCTTAACTGCAAATTACAAAGTATGCAACCTGTTCGACACACGAGTCGAGCGGATTGCCGGCTGCAAAAAGCGTGCGACCCACATCCATCACTCGTCGTCCGTCCGTTGTCGGAGAGGAACAATCCCATCCACTCACTCTCGCGCCCAAGCAACAAAAAACGCAAAATCAAAGGGAGGAAATTTCATTCAGGCTCGGGAAATGATTGTGCTTCTCAGTTCTAATCTAATGAGATGCATGCGCAAGAAAACGAGGGGAAATTTTATGCAAAAATACTAACCACTGTTACTTCTGGTGTAGAACTTGTGGATTTCGGACACATCGTTCCAGCCGTACTTGTTCTTGGCCTGCACGACGGCTTCGTAGGCGCAGCCCGGTTGCAGGGGCCGGATCACGTATGCGCCCTGGTGGCGGCCACCCTTGCCCACGTGGCCGATGGAAGCGGTGATGGGGTTGGGCGCCAGAATCACGTCGTGCCACTTGCCCTGCACCGGCAGCGAGTCGTTCATCTGCACGCGTCTCCACATGAGTTTGACCTCGAGCAGCGGCGGCCAGCTGGTCACTTCCCAGCTCAGGTTGTAGAAGTCGCGGCCCCTGCTAAACGCTTCCGACAAAAACAGCGCCGGGCTTGGTTTGCCTGCGTCACACATGCAAAATATGCAAGAATTAAAACCAGGAAATGGAAAATGTGCGTGTTTCAGCAAATGATATTTTTATTTGTGTCTGGGTGTAAAAGCGAGAGAGTGTTTTTGCCTTCCTTGCATGCAGCGATTCTGAGAATGGAAAATAAATTTATGTTTGCGGATTCGAGTTTAAAAGTCAATCCTTTTCTTTTGCGAGTGTATATATTGGATCGCAGGCGCGTTGGCGGTTCTTTGATATCAAACGACTCTTTTATTTAGATTTGCAAAGGGCCAAGTGAAAAGGATCATAAAGTAACGGAACACAATCTTTGAGATGCAGACTGGTTCGACGTGAAAGAGTCTTTTTTCTTTGGTGTGCGGTGAGATTGGAAAACTAAAAAGGAACTTTACATTGTCTTTATTGCGGAAACCAAAGTTTTAAAATCGATACCAAAGAGACAAAGGAGGGTGAAAGCAAAAGCAAAAGCACCGAAACCGCCAGACAGGCTCAACAGTTTAATCAGAATTGAAGGAAAAGTTTCCTCCACGATGGGAAAAATTTCCCAGACGCAGAAGCGACATCTTTAATAGCTTTGAGAAAAAAAATGAGATTTTTAAAGTTGATAATCTTCACGGTTAGGTCTGTTCATCTTGTGTACATCTCTAAGAATTCCGAGGACAAAAAATTGTGCTTTGAGCCCAAAATTATGAACCAAGGTTGAAAGCAAATGTTGACGTGATGAGGGTTGTTAGGGGTGCGTGTTCATGCAGTGAAAAGAAAATTGTTATTTATCAAGGAGCAGCGGGCGGGTGGTTTTCAGATGAAAGAGGGACTTTGATGATGAGTGACTTCATTCATTTTATCTCATTGGGCTCTGCGGGGCAGGAGCGAAAAGATGAAAGTGGCGGGTTTCATCTGAGCAAAGTCGCGGACTGGCGGGCGGGAGAGCGAGTGGGTGGAAAAAGGAAAGAGTTGGCCCAGACACCCGCTTATTTTTGCATCTATGTGATGGAGCCGACACTTTGCACGCCGCGAAAGGAGGGAAAAGAGAAAAAAATGAGTTATCCCACCGAGCCGAGCTACCACCACACATTTTTACACACTCACACACACAGACCCAACTTACGTACATGGTATAGTACACACGCATGCGACTACTTTGCAGCAAAATGTTTGAAAGAACCTCCTCGTTTTTGCAAACCTTGAATGTATTTTTATTCATATCATTTTCCCCTTATGTACACACTTTATTCAAGGCAGGACTAAAGAGAGTGGAAGCGGGAGTTGCTGCAGCCGCCGCCGCCGACAACAAGAAGAAGAAACTCGAGCACGCGCGCTTGCTTTTTTTTTGTGTTGGGCCAGTAGCGAAATTTTCATGTCAAAGTCGGACGAAGGGATTTTTTTATTTATGCTTTGAGCGAAATCAAGGAGAAGAAAGAAGGAACAGAAAAGCGGTTTTATTTTATTTATTCATTTTTTTCTTGTAGTAATATTATTTTATTCAAAGCTTGGTGGGAAAGCGCATTTCCAGCAACACACGCGTGAGCAGCAAAAATTTTAGTTCCTTCACCGGGCACAGCAGAGGGTAATTAAAAGAGCGAGAAATCCTATTACCAGTGAGAGCAGAGGCAGCATGCTTTAAATTTTTAAAGACCCATGAGATGGTACGCAAACTTACCTGAAAGGACCATGTATTTCTTGGCTCTGCCTAATGAGTTCTCAGCCACGCAGCTGTAGTTGCCGAAGTTGTCCTGGCGCACTCCGCGAATCGAGAGGAAGTGCTTCGAGCCCATATTGTTGATGGAAAACTGTTCGTTTGGATCCTGCTGAATGGCTTCCTTGTACCAACGCACCTGTTTGTCAAACAGAAGATAAATAATATAGTTTTAGATCTTCCATCAAAGCAAATTAATGGAACCTAATCTATTTTTCATAATTTGTTTACATTATAAATTGTTAAACAATGAATTATTTGTATGATTAAGTAATTAATATATTAGTTTGAAAGTTGTGATTTTGAGGTTTTCTTTGATAAGTTTGTCCTTAATTATGATTAGCCAAGATTCAAATTAACGCATGTTCTGTCAAAATGGATAAAAAGTAACAAACTTAAACAGCTAATAATCCTTAATCGTTGTGCATTGCAAACTTCAATATAAATAATTAAGACGTCTGCAATTTAAATATAAATTTCTGAAATGAATTGTCTCCAGCAGCAAAAATGACTGTAAACAGTGCATTTTTCATTAGATATTTTCGTGTCTGTTTTGACTGAATGAATGCAATGTACTCTGGAGTGTCGCGTGTGTGCACCATTATTATTTTATTAATCCAATTCAGCCCTGACAGTAGGAGCCCGTAAAGGGAATACCAGATTTGTGCCGCATCCGTGAAAACAGAGAGGGCTGCTTTCGAGCGCGCAAGGCTTGGTTGACATTGCGGCGGCGATATTCAATAGACGTGGAGTGTTTCCGTCTCAACGTGCGCCGCATATTTAATGCAAGGTGTTTGCACTCTGCACTGCAATTTCCCACTCACGAGACCCGGCGGCGGCAGTCGCAATGTATTATGTAGTGCCATTTGCGGCGAAACACCTTGAGGGCAAAAATGCCGCGCGCGCGGTCGTAATGGTGCAAAAACCGGGATATTTTCCGTCAGAGTGATGGTGCTCGCGTGAGACTAATATCCAAACACGGAGGAAAAGGTGACCCATAAAAAGAGTGTCTTAAAAGTAGGACGACTTCAAGAGCTGTGCAAATACAATAGAAATTTTCCGACTCGACTAAAACTATTTTTCCTGCTGAATTATCCATTATTTCATTACTTGTGACCGAATAAGCCTCTTAATTTAATCGCAAAAAATAATATTTCATTGAACTTTGTTATTCCATTTAAATATTATGTATTTTTAAAATTAGTTAATGTAAATTCCAAACAGTTTCTATTTCTACTGTAATTAGTAAAAATATAAATATATATATTTAATTGATATATTCCACATATTGTAGCTTTTTTAAGGATTCAATACAAACCGCTATCGTGCCAAGTTTAAAAAAAACGATGCAATCGAGAAAGCTGTTATTCCGATCATAACAATCAGAATCGGCTTTCCTCTCTGCCTCTCACTTGGTTGAAAATCAATAAGCGAAGATGCTTTTTCCAATTTTAATTTAATGAGGGTGGCTGTGGCGTAACGACCGCGCCCTGCTTTTTCTAAATAAAAATCTCCTGCATCTGCACTCCCTTCGCCCCTTTCACCCGCCATAAAAATCTACAAGAAAAATCCATTCCATTCTTGCTCAGTATCTCGAGTGCAAAAATTCTCATCGTCTCCTGATATCCATATCACCCCGCGATTGCTGAGCGAGCGGGTGAACGAACGCAGAGGGAAATATATATATTCCTGTAAAATTTATATTTCTGAGCCGCCGCTGCACCCTCCGGATTCCATTAATCAGTAAACTTAATCCCGCAAAACGAGCGGAACCTTTCAAAGAAATGCGCCGCGGCGTCGGTATTATATGTGACAAAGTACGGCTCCCCTCGCTTGGAAAACTATTAGACGATAGAGGTACCTGTCAGATATGCAGATGAAGCGATTTAAATGCAAGCTAAATTGAAATTTAAATGAGCAAGTGCGAAATAAAGCCACCCTTTTCTACGCACTTAATGATTTCAGGAATATTTGGTATGCGTTAATCTGTAAATAATTCTGCATCTTCTAAACTTTTTGAAGAGAAATTGATTAACAAACGCATGATGAAAAAAAATATTTCATGTTTGTAACGGCCAAAATATGTATTTTTTTTTTAAACTTCCTTTATATATTTTTTTTTTCATTTTTCTTGTAATTTGATACAAATTCAATTGCTCAAATTGTTTCAGCCACCCAGTTTTCACTTGTTAAACAATGAAACTGCTTTGGGGAAAAATCAATGCGAGCGATAGGAAAATTCATTTTGCCGGCGCTAGTGAAATCACATCAGACTCATTAAGTTGGTGCCGCAGCCTTTGTAACACGTTTAGCCGAGGTTGGGCAAAATTGGTCTTGTTATTGATTGTGTCCGACCCGGCTAAGAGGTTAATTAGGGCACAAAGTGTCTTGTGCATAGTCTGGGGGTCAAACGTCGTTAGCGGCTGAGATAATATAAACTTTGAAACTCGCTCTCGGCTTGCTAACGGCATTACGTGAAGAGAAGTTTGCATTGCCATGTAATACTTTGCAAATGCTTTATTTCCCTTCTTGCAATATCGGCGGACCATAAAACTGATTAATGCATGTAATGAGTTGGCGCGAGCTCTTTCATAAAGTCGTCGAACTTAACTCGTTGCTTCGTGCTTAATTTAAAAGTCTCTGTACATCAACAGAATTGCCACTTAAACTTTCCGCAGTCATCCCTGGAGCAAATGATCGCGATAAAAAAGGGGGTAATCCCATTCTGAGAATAAGAGGTCTGTAAATTTCAAAGAGTGTGATTTCGTAATTTTTTCAAGAGAGTGCTAAAGGAGAACGAACGGGTTGTAATTTATATAATTATTGTACGAACAAAAAAATTGTGCTTCGAGTGCAGAAATATATCTGGCGCCGGATTTTGCAGCATAATCTTTTTGAATCCCAACCCGATTTCCATGAAAAAGCCATTCACAAACACGATCTCTCCTCCTCCCCCGACGAAAATCCTGCACGCTGCAGCATATTCAATTAAATGTCCGAGGCGCATCCTGATTGTTAACCAGAGATATCAACACTTGTCTCGCAGTAACAAGTTTGAGAAAATTGCTTTTTTATCTTGGCGCAATCTAATTAAGGGCGCACTCTGTGGAGCCACCAGGTCCTTCAGATAATCCGAGCAAGTGCTGCTCATTAATTATCGATTTCACGGCTGCTCAGTTGAAAAGCCTCCTTCGGCCGGCGTGACCGGTTCTCCGAAATCACGCCTCAAGAGGTCACCATTGTTCACTCTCGGTCTGGAGAGCACGAGAAAAATATTCCAATAGAACTTACGTCAGCAGGCGGCTCAGCGTGGACGATGCACACCAACTGTGCCTCGTAGCCAACACCCGAGTGAACCCAGCTGCGCTCCATTTCGATTTCCGGCGGGTCTGAAACAAATAAAATCACAAAATAATTATTCCGAGTCATAATTCAACAATTTAAAGTAAACAATGTATTTGTAACAATTGGGGAGTTAAAAAAAAATTAATTATATTATTTATTAGTTTTAATAAGGCTCAAGTTTCTTCTCCGTTTCTTGGTTGAAAGGATTGATTTACAATATTTACTGAATACACGGCCATCATAAAAATTCTGTTCAACAAGAAAAATATTTGAAATTTTAGCTCAATAAACATAAATAAAAAATACTATATAATTAAAACAATTCAACATTTTAATTCTGCGATTAATTTCATTTGAATATAACATAAATTATTTAAAGGAAATGAACAGAAACGGATGTCAATAGGCGGCTTAAAGGAGTTAAAGCAGGAAGACGAAAACAGTTTTACAGCACCAAAGAAAGCCCACTTCACCAAAGCTTTCCTTTGTTTCAAGACATTTGCACAAAATCCACAGTATTTTAGCGTCGGCTTTTAAAGTCGCACATATTTTACAACTTGATAGCCTAATTTCGAGTCCCACCCAGCTACTTAAAGGCGAAAAAGAGCCAAAAAAGAAAGTGCGAGGCAGCGGCAATAATTCTCGCCCGTCCGCCCGCCGGCTGGGCTTTCAACAGCGCGAGAGACTTACTATATAATGCTGGGGCGGAAAATCGGGCATCCGCTAATGTTATAAATCATTAGTGGGCGGCATAAAAAGCCACCGGCCGCCTGTTTACTATACATTCATACGCTAATGTGGCCAAGCCTAATTCCCAGATAATAAAGCCCAGAAAGCATATTGCAAAATGTTCTGCCGGGAATGGTGCATTGCAGGAGAGGCTGCGTTATGACGTGTGTGTGTGTAAGAGTATAATAATATGCGAGAGAGGCAGGCAGGCAGCCTTACGCCGGCAGAAAGACGGTTGGCGTTCAGGGTAGGCAACCAGCGTGGCATCAGCTTTCAGGCGGTAATTAATGAGCCCTTCTCAAAACAGAGCCGCAGCTCGACCACCGCTCCGAGAGAAACTGCTTCTTCTCCGTCGAATTATGCATTAGCGCGCCGGCAAATTAATTTGATTATTTTGACCGACGGACAAACAGACCGCAGGGTCTACTCTATGACTAGTCATACATTGTTGGTCCTACTCATTGTTTTGCCTCCTAGCATTGTGTTTTCAACTGACGTGCAATAACCTGCCCGACCAGGTAGGCAGATCAGTTTGCTTGCGAATGTTTGCTCTGGAAACAAGATACGCACGCCGAGGCGTAATTGCTTTGCCTCGAGTACTTGTGCAGATCTCTGCTGGCAGGGGCGCCTGTTACGAGATCGTGCTTGTATCTAGCCCCATGTCTATACTTGCTATTTGCTCTGCGAACCGAATCGTTTATTGTGATCTAGACACTCATGCCAAAAGACTAGATTTTCAAATTCAAAATAACTAGGAACTGGTTGACAAGATTATATGAATGAACTTTGAACTGATTTTCTAATAATAGAAAGAGAGAGAAAGAAATATTTTTTGGAGCTTATTCAATGAATATTTTGGTAATTTTTAAAAATATATTTCATTATAAGCGATCAACACAACATTTCCTTACAAACATAAAAATAATCGTTCAATTTATTGTAAGATTTTTGTAACATGCATAATGTTTTTGTCTTGATTATTTTGATATTAAGTTATATCAAATAATAAATGGAATTAATTACTTTCTTATGAGTAGTTGCGCAAATATCTTCAACTTTTCTTCTTCTTTGTATCTAAAATTCATAACTTTTAAAATACATTGAGCAATTTCACAAATTTATCTAAAACATAATTTTCAAAAATTCAGTTGAACCTACATTTTCTGGCAAAATAAGTTTTGAAATCAGGATGTGCTGTCAAGCTGATGCAACAAATCAAACACAAAGTCATCACATAAAGAAAAAGTTGGAACATTCCGCGCCACTTTGGGAAGGGTGCATACCTTGTCGTAAAAATCTCGTGCCTGGCTAACTTTTTTACTCTGGCTGTTTTTCCATCCCCCACGATGCGAGTTGGTCTGATTTATTATTTAATATAACCTCATCTAAATAAATTAAATTTACGACAGAATGCCAACGAGCCAGCAAGCGCGTCGCATAAAAGTTTTCGATACGGCGCCGAGCTGAATAATTTTTGCATAAAATTAAGTTCACGTATGTATGAATACGTGTGCTCGTTGGATGGTGAGGAATTCACCAGACCAGCTAATTGTTAACCAGAGCGTTGGTGCGACGGGTGCGAAATTTATGTCGCCCGCACGACGACGCCTACGAATGAAATGGCTTTTGTTCACCCTTTTGATTTTTGTGCACATCGCGCTAAAGCTAGATAGAAAAAAAGAAATAGAAATAAAAAAAAAATGACAGGCAGATTAAATTCCGTGAAAACAACGAATTTTAGATAGAAGAATTTTTCTTAAAAAAAAACTGACAAAATTGATTATGAATGCAAAACTCTGTTTGTGCACCATTTTTTAATTAATTTTATTTGAAACAGTTTTGATAATTTTTGTTTAAATTTTAAAAATTTGAAAATGTATTAATTTATTGAGCTGTGCAACAAAATAAGAATGGATTACTACAATTTTATTGCGGTTTACTCCATTCTAGGCTCTAACAAAGAAGTTCAAAATTTCGTTTTTTTGTCATTTTAACAAGTACTTTCCCTCTGTTTAATTTTGCTCTGCGAGTTTTGCACGGCTCCCCTGTTGGTGCTGCTGCTTTCCCTCTCGCAACAACGTGTTTTCACAACGTAACATTGCCGCACTCTCAAGGAAGCAGACAAGAACAGGGTGAAAGAGAGACGGAGAGGAAATCCTCTGCCGCCCTTAAAAGAGGCAATTAAATTTTGACTCATTTGTGCCGGCTGAGTCGCAGGAAGAAGGGTGTCCTTTCGCGATTTGCTGTACGTAGTCGCCGAAAGTAATTCCTCGATGCGCGATTGACCTTAAATAACCATTAAAGCATTCCGCATGGCCACACAAAAAAGTAATCACAAATCGCTTGATTTGCAGAGAAAAAGTGGCAGCGAGTGGGGACGAGCTTTAAAGCGTAGTTGAGCTTTTTGGTCGATATCAGTCGGCGTGATAAATGGGAAAAGAGGGATTTTGCAGGTTCTCTCATGTCAGATGTGTGTGTCAATTTTGGATTTGGTTCGATAGGACTAGCACGTGATGTGGGATATTTGGTCGAGATAGCATTATTCAAAATGAAAAATGAAGAACGCAGTTTTAGTTAACAAAACTTTCACCAATATTTTGAACATTTTGGAGGTTTTCACTTATATTCATATTTATACTGTGGTCCAGTTAAATTCCTATTTCACAATTTGATAGCGAAATCCAAATTCCCAAATTTCAACAATGTGTGCACGCTTTTGATTTCATAAATTATAAATATCATATCATAATATTACAACAAAACATTTTGTTATTGTTATATAATGAATGAAATATATTGCAAAACTAAATATTTAGATTGAAGGAAATATTCGAAACAACATTAAAAAAAAAATGCTTATGAGTGAACTAGTGGCAATTTTATAAATTATTACCTCTACGATTTGCACAAATAACGTTAACTGCCAAAGTCATGCTCAGGGGGACGGCACGTGTTTGTGTCATACGCGCCAAAAATGTATCTTTTTTTCTCTTGAGCAGATATAGTGCTGGCAAAAAAATGTGCAGAATACACCAACGATTTTTCTTGGTGGAAAACACATTTTGGCTCAACGTATAGGCACCCAGTTTTGGCTGCCCACAAAGTGCTTGTTTGAATAGATATATTTCAGGCGCGTGTGCTTGATGTGTGTTTTTATTCCGAAACTAAACAGTTTGTAGGTCGATCTCTTTCTTTGGCACACCATTCCAATAAACAAAATAAGAAATAAAACGATTGTGAAACGAATTTCTCTCGCAAGGTATAAAAATGTTTGGCAAAATTTTTCAATATTTTTTTTTCATGACAAGAATTCTTTATGAAAATATCATTGCCCAATTTTTCGCAGAAAAAAACCAGGCATTCATTTGGGAAAAAAATCAAAAGACCCTTTTCAATAGGAAACAAACTTTCCTGAAAGGTAGAGGCACGTGAACGTTCTCAAGTAATTTGGCCGGAGACTTCAAAGGCCCTAGAATTCGCAACCGTATCGAGACTCTCGGCACAAACATTTCATTTTTTCTTGTCAAAGATGCTCCGGCACTCGGCGGGGTTTGAGCCAGGTTATTTACTCCTGGTGAAGCGGCGGGGCTACATCAACAACTGTTTGACGAACACTTGAGCCGACCCTGCGTAAACTCTCCTTATAATATACACGTTACTTGCCAACAAGTGCCAGCCGTGGTGCGGTGGCACGCAGAATTTTATTAAAAGGCCTTTTTGGGGACAGCTGGAATTTCCTCCTCGTCGCTAGGGTGAGTCCAGCGCTTCTTACGTGTGTGTTTGGGGAAAACTTATGAAATTGAATTTGAGAACTGTTAAAAGCCCCTTTTCCGCTATTCGTGAAAAACAGCCTGGGGGAATAGAATTTCAGAGACGAACGAAAACTTTTCCGGCACAAATTTTGTGGGTGGAAAACAACACCGGCGGCAAAACTCATATGAAATAAACTCTATTCGCAAAAGGAAGCTATCGAATTTTCAGGTTTAACAAAAATTCGCACTCAATACTAGGAAAAAAACTTTTTCGGCGCGACTCGAATTGCTCGTTTTCAGTAACACATTTCCCTGTAATAGAGGAAAGTGAGGCGATTGGAAAGGGCTTCGGGCGGTGATCAAATCGAGGCAAAGTTTGGTACAAGGAATTCATATCCGCAATCTGCACGCGCGCTCTTTGGTCTCGCGCTACAGCTCAGGCTGCGTAGATTGAATCAAGGTGACTTATGCCGTTCATAAATTCAGTTTGTATAGCAAGTTTAGTGCTTCTCTGGCATAAAAGAGGAGAGAAAGTTTGTTGTCAGACAAATACACATCGCCGCAAAAACGTATCAATAAGCCGGAGAAAAAGTGTGCCGCGCGGAAGAAGAAGTCGTCGCAAAAAAGCGTGGTGCGTCGTCGGAGCAGTCGCAGATAATTGAAAACCAATAACCAATAGCATCTTTTATGGGGGTCGCGCACCTTTCCGTCCCTTCGATATATTAGCGTCAGGGTGAAAAGATGTGCGGGAGAGAGCACAGCTTATGACGCTTTCCTCCCATTTTTCTTTGCAGTTTTCCCATCAAGGAGGCTCCCTTGTTCCGCAAGAGGAACTTGTAGAAAATGTCCACATCTTCATCACTAGCACTTCTCATGCATTTGTCCTTTATATATTACAAGCAAAAATGCTTTCAACTAACTGAACATAAAAATGTCCATCAAGAAAGATATGGACATGAAATATTAATTATCTAAATTGCTTGTATCAAACTTTTATCATTAAATTCTTGTCATTACCGTAGCATGAATTTTTCAGGGAAAATCCCCTTTTAAATTTGAATCCAAAAATAAATTGAGTGTTGACTTCTGGAAAAGGAACGGCCACAAACTAACCGTGTTTGGCCTGACATAAAAAAAAATTATTTAAAAAATTTCAACCCTAAATTTTGACAAGTCGGAAGTCTGAATAAAATAATATATATAGTAAAATTTCTGAAACATAACTTTTCTACGTTGTTTGTTGTATTCAAATAAATAAATGTAATTATTATTTTAAAATATTTTGTAACACACTATTTGAAATATCAAATTCGATGTGTGCATATTGTAATATTTAATTATTTAAATAAATGATTGGTGAGACTACAATTTTAAAATTTAGGTTATTACTAAGTGAATCGTGGGTCTGCACTTTTTTCAAAATCTAGGTGATTATTAAGTGAATCGTGGGTCTGCACTTTTTTCAAAATCTAGGTGATTATTAAGTGAATCGTGGGTCTGCACTTTTTTCAAAATCTGGGTGATTATTAAGTGAATCGTGGGTCTGCACTTTTTTCAAAATCTAGGTTATTATCAAGTGAATCGTGGGTCTACACGTTTTTCAAAATCTAGGTGATTATCAAGTGAATCGTGGGTCTGCACTTTTTTCAAAATCTAGGTGATTATTAAGTGAATCGTGGGTCTGCATTTTTTTCAAAATCTAGGTGATTATCAAGTGAATCGTGGGTCTACACTTTTTTCAAAATCTAGGTGATTATCAAGTGAATCGTGGGTCTGCACTTTTTTCAAAATCTAGGTGATTATCAAGTGAATCGTGGGTCTACACTTTTTTCAAAATCTAGGTTATTATCAAGTGAATCGTGGGTCTACACTTTTTTCAAAATCTAGGTTATTATCAAGTGAATCGTGGGTCTACACTTTTTTCAAAATCTAGGTTATTATCAAGTGAATCGTGGGTCTACACTTTTTTCAAAATCTAGGTGATTATCAAGTGAATCGTGGGTCTACACTTTTTTCAAAATCTAGGTGATTATCAAGTGAATCGTGGGTCTACACTTTTTTCAAAATCTAGGTTATTATCAAGTGAATCGTGGGTCTACACTTTTTTCAAAATCTAGGTGATTATCAAGTGAATCGTGGGTCTACACTTTTTTCAAAATCTAGGTGATTATCAAGTGAATCGTGGGTCTACACTTTTTTCAAAATCTGGGTGATTATTAAGTGAATCGTGGGTCTACACTTTTTTCAAAATCTAGGTGATTATCAAGTGAATCGTGGGTCTACACTTTTTTCAAAATCTAGGTTATTATCAAGTGAATCGTGGGTCTACACTTTTTTCAAAATCTAGGTTATTATCAAGTGAATCGTGGGTCTACACTTTTTTCAAAATCTAGGTTATTATCAAGTGAATCGTGGGTCTACACTTTTTTCAAAATCTAGGTTATTATCAAGTGAATCGTGGGTCTACACTTTTTTCAAAATCTAGGTGATTATCAAGTGAATCGTGGGTCTACACTTTTTTCAAAATCTAGGTGATTATCAAGTGAATCGTGGGTCTACACTTTTTTCAAAATCTGGGTGATTATTAAGTGAATCGTGGGTCTACACTTTTTTCAAAATCTAGGTGATTATCAAGTGAATCGTGGGTCTACACTTTTTTCAAAATCTAGGTTATTATTAAGTGAATCGTGGGTTTACACTTTTTTCAAAATCTAGGTGATTATTAAGTGAATCGTGGGTCTACACTTTTTTCAAAATCTAGGTGATTATCAAGTGAATCGTGGGTCTACACTTTTTTCAAAATCTAGGTGATTATCAAGTGAATCGTGGGTCTACACTTTTTTCAAAATCTAGGTTATTATTAAGTGAATCGTGGGTTTACACTTTTTTCAAAATCTAGGTGATTATCAAGTGAATCGTGGGTCTACACTTTTTTCAAAATCTAGGTGATTATCAAGTGAATCGTGGGTCTACACTTTTTTCAAAATCTAGGTGATTATCAAGTGAATCGTGGGTCTGCACTTTTTTCAAAATCTAGGTGATTATCAAGTGAATCGTGGGTCTACACTTTTTTCAAAATCTAGGTGATTATCAAGTGAATCGTGGGTCTACACTTTTTTCAAAATCTAGGTGATTATCAAGTGAATCGTGGGTCTACACTTTTTTCAAAATCTTGGTGATTATCAAGTGAATCGTGGGTCTACACTTTTTTCAAAATCTAGGTGATTATCAAGTGAATCGTGGGTCTACACTTTTTTCAAAATCTAGGTGATTATCAAGTGAATCGTGGGTCTACACTTTTTTCAAAATCTAGGTTATTATTAAGTGAATCGTGGGTTTACACTTTTTTCAAAATCTAGGTGATTATTAAGTGAATCGTGGGACTACACTTTTTTCAAAATTTATTCTGTACTTATTATTCTTATTATAAAAGTGATGAAATTATTAAATTAGGTTATAGTAAATTTTATATAAAAGAAACATTATAAAAAAAATAGTATGTTAATTTATGCTACAGTGCGGTGAGTAGTCGGGTTTTCATTACCTCTTTGTAATTAATGGCTACAAGTTTCAATTAGTTACTAGCGCTGTGTGCCTATTTTTCTCGCAGCCAATTTTTTCATTATTGATATTTTTTTACTTGTTTGGGAAAAAATAATATGAATTGAAGCATGTCTTTTGAGAAATGGATACTTTGTAAAAGCGGAGCGTTACTGCACCCTCAGCACGTCTGATACTTACAGCCCCGCCTGCATATAATTCTCATCCAGAACGTGCACATCTCACATTTCCACCGTGTCTCTTTCTTTTTTTCCTACCCACTTGAAAGTGTCTCATGCATTATGAATATTATTATATCGTGTGTAGTACTTCCAGAATGACAAATAGCAACATTACTGCTGCCACAATGTGTGTAACACGCCACAGTCGCGGGCCCTTTGGCCGCCGCCTGCTCGCACTTGGCACTCGTCTAACAGGAAGTTATGAACACATTCGCCGTCGCAGATTGCCAACGCATAAATTCTTGCTTTGCACGCGCGGCGCCAATTGCGGCGCGTGTTATTTGTCTCCGCGGATCCACCCACGGCGCATTACGCGTAATTTGAACTAAATGAATAATAATAGTCGGTCGGAGGCTGCCACCCCGCGTGCGTGTGCATATTGGATTATTTCACGCGGCGCGCATCACTCGGATTAATCGCTAGCATTAGCTTTTGTAACGTGGCACGCTTATGGAATTTTCATTGGTATTTACGTACAAACACAAACATAGAATGCACCTTAAGCTTATTGGGATATCAACCAAAACGCGCATTCTCTTGAAGGCGCATAGTGTGGTTTTATTTATTTAATAGAAATATTTAATTAAAGAAATTGCTGATATATATAAAATTCATTTATTAAAAAAAAGTATAAATATATCTTGTTAAAAATATTTTGTCAAAAATTCTAAGCAAAACTTGCAGACAATTTTGTCTATATTCTGCAAAAATAATGAAAATTAATTTAATTTCTATTCTATATTTTAATCGTTGCTTTTGTACAATTTGTACATAATTCTTGTATCCTCTACTTAATGCTAAATTACTGGTCTTGCTTTTCTGCGTCGTTCATAATTTTCAATTTGTAAGATCATAGAAGTGTTCAAGTAACACATCTATTAAGCATTTAAAATATTTATAAACAATGAAAATTATTAGTTGCTTGCAAATATCTCTATATTATACTATTATAAAAACAATTTTATTTAGTTATCAGTATGAGGAAATGATTCACACAATGTGAAACGTCACTAGTTCTTTTTGTATAGTTATCTAAAGAGTTCAATTTTTCTAAGCATTGAGAAACAGTTAAATTTGAAATTTATAGACAAGATTTATCTTTTATTTCATTTTTTTTTCTTTTTTATTCAATATGAACAACGGAAGGATTATTCAAATGCATTGCAAAACCAAGCTAACAATCCTAATCAAATCGTGGCATGTTTTGCAGTTACAAAATAACACGCGTGAGCAAATGTGATTCCTTTCGCGGCATTTAATTTCGCGTCCATGCATTTTGCAAAGCTCGCGGTGCGTGATAACACCACCGTGGGATTAATTATAACACGAGCCGCAACAGATTTAATTAAATAATCCGCCAAATTCATTGCAGCTTTGCCGCTGATGGCAGATAGGTTTGCATAAATTTATAAATTCAGAGCTCTGTTTGAAGCGCATTATTGCACGCGCAAACGGTTATTGCATGAATATTTCTGAATTATTGCTTCACCATAGGTCTAGGCGACACCATACACTATCATCGGGGGAAAATTTATGAAATCAGGTGAATGTAAATCAGGGATGAAAAAAGTTTTAATGCATAAAAAAATATTGTTACTTACATAAGATGTTAAGGTTGATGTCAAAAGTGGCTGGGGTACCGACTCCGTTGTTTGCTGAGCATTGGTAAATTCCTGCTTGATGCCGATCAACCTGCTCCAAAGTCAAGGAAAAGCCCTCAACAATATTTTCTCGAGTGATGCCAGAGGGACCCTGAAAGCCCAAAAAATGATTTAATAGTGATTCTATTATCTCAAGCCACAGAAAAAAGGTTTAATAAATATAAGATTTAGTAAAATAATACGGATAAAGCATAACAAATAATAAAGATGCAAAAATGATCACTAAAAGAATAAAATAAAATTAAATAATTAATGAAATTTATTTTGTAATTAGTTTATAAATAAAAATTTTAATTCATAATGAATTCTTGCTATTAAAAAGAATATTATTTACAGTTGAAAATTATTAAATTATAAAATAATAAAATAAAAAATAAATTATAAAAATTCAAATGCTTGTTTCTGTAACTTAGCTTTTTTAAATCGGATATGAACCATTTAAAAAAAACGGCAACTTAGTAATATAATATATTAATTGAACTTAAGTCTATGTGAGCAACGGCTGCTCTTACGTTGGTAACATTAGCCAGCCACATACCTTTTTGGTCCAGGTGATAGTTGGCACGGGGTTGCCCGACGCCTTGCATTCCAGGGTGACAGATCCTCCCTTCCTTGCGGTCACCGACCCGCCGGCTGGCTGTCCTCGAATCACCGGTGGCACTGCGAACATAGAGACGACTCAATTAGCAAGGCCATTCCAAAGTCGCAATTAATTGCCAAAACAATGGCACTCAATTATTATCTGGCGCGCAATTAAATCGAGGGTGAGTGGGACACATTAATTATTTCACACAGCCGCTGTCGCTCGACGAACACGTCGAGTGAGTAGGCGCTTAATGCATGCATTGTACAGTGTGATATTTATAGCAGGCCGAGAGCTAGCTGGAGTGACTCAGGTATGCAACCGGGTCGACAGGCTCGTCCAGCAGATTGCCTAAAAGCGTCGCGGGGTCACCTTGTGTGAAAGTCAAGTCTCACTTTAGAAATAAGGGATTTTACGACATTTCCGCTTCAACTGAAGTTAATTATTAAAGGCAAAGCGAAGCATGGAACCAAATATTATTCAATCAGTGAAAATTAAATGATACGCCAGAACAAAAAAAAAACATAACAATAATTAATTCATTTGAATTTTTTTGTGCAATATAGCAATATGAATTTTTATTTCGCTGACTGGGTAATTACAAATGCACAGCCCTAAATTTTAAACTCAATTCATAAATAACATTTATACCTCATTCCCCTTATTTCACGTTTTGAACTGAGGTATGGTATTATTTTTTATCTGTTTTGTAAGCAAAAATAAATTTATTTTATTTTATTTAAAAAAAAACTAAAATTGTGTAAAAAAATGGGTTTTCCTTCTAAAAGGTCATTCAAAGTTCTGCAACCCGTTTCTTGCGTACTCGTTGAAATTTTCATACCGTCAGTTATTCATGCGCCGCGTTTGAGTTACTTGAAAATCGTATCCCTCTGTCCGAATTCTCTTTGAAGTCCCAAAAATGCCTGCTTTCTGAAGGGCAGGGCAAGATTTCTGCGGATAATCTTCGCTCGGATTATCTTGTTCTTTGTGAACAAGGTTGTACACACGCGCGCTCTCTCTTTGTGTGCACAATCAAAATGAATAAAGGCAGCTGCGCGCTGTTTGAAAACACAAAGCGAGAGAAGACCGACTCTCTTTTTGGCAAAGGTGTTTAAAAAGGGATGCTCCGCTTGGCACTGCACAAAAGGGTTGGATCCCTTCAAAACACATCCTCACTCTGTGCGATATTTTAGCGCCGTGAAGTGTTTAATGATGGAACAATAACACTCGGTTGGAGGTCTTTATTACGTTTTAATTAGAGAAGAATTGTCGGGCGCTGTAATAAACACGCAAAATACAAAACTAATAAATCAAATTTACGAGGTGGCTGCTCAACAGGAAGCCGCTTGAGGCTCGTTGTTAATTAATGTTGGGAAATGCGAACAATGACAAATAACGAGGCGGAACAATTCAAGCGGAAAATTTTATTCGCTGAAAAATCACCCCCGCCAAAAGATTGCGTATAATTAACCAGTTCTTGTCTAATATCGGGCAAATTCCCCAGCCAGTTTGCACTGAGCCAAACCGACAGACAAGAATACTTGATCAGAATCGCAGCAGGCATCAATTATTTATGCTACACGCTTTGCCTGTAATTAATAATGCAAGGATGAGTCGATCTACGCAGGCAAAACCAGAGGCGTGCGCGTCCCAGATTCGAAAATCACTCAGCAATAAAATCGAGCATAATTTCCATCATCTGCCTCCCTCTCGTCTTCCAGCCACCGCCGCCGCCACCGCCGTTGATGAAATTATTAATGTGAGCATCTCGAAATCGAATCAAGTGCTGCTTCGCTCGCTCGCTCGCTCGGCGGTCTGGGAGTTGCTTTTTGAGCTACCAACAGCGGGCGAAATTTAATAATGGCGGCTTTCTCCTCGAACGAATTTGCACGAGATATAAATGCACAGGTATATAAATTTAGACATTTCTCAAATTCAATTTTAATCGGAATGCACAGAATCGTTGATGGCGCTACGGAAATACATAAAATTGCTTTGATCATCAAAAACAAAATACCAAATTTCAAATAAGTGCTCGTCGATTTTGTTGAAACCCACCCGAGTGGTTATTTCCCTCTGAAAACGCATCAAGCTTTCGTCAAATCCTATTTTCCCGTCTATTTTTGTCCGCTTTTGTTTCAACTCGTTCGCAGTAGATTATTAATCCTTTGAAATGAGCTCGGCTGCATAGTACGTCTGCTATTACCAACCGAGTTTACAAACACATAAGCCATCTTGTTGTTGAGTGTGTCTCTCTTTCCTCAAAGATGCTTTTCCCAGAGGAACTTTGCACAATGTGGTGCCGAGCGTTCAATCGAAGCTCTTAAAGTTTGCTGCACTGACAGTGAGACCATAATCTTATAATTGGAAATCTCTTTGGATTTAATCTGTTTGATGCTCTGCGAGTTGCAAAAGAAGGGTGCTTTTAATGCGCTCGAGCTAAATAGAAATACATGAAGGGGAAAACAACATTATCAAATTTCAGCAACAAGCATTATTTGAATTTTTATTATAATTTTTTTTTTATAATAATCTCCTACGTGCAATTTTATAGTGCCTGATTTTACGAGCAGATTCACAGACTCATTGATTCACCAAGTGGAATTTATTATGATAGTAAAAGCACAAAATCCTCGCTCGGGCGGCAAACAAGATAATTTACGGCCCAATCAGTCAGCGACGCGGATACGACGGCGGACCTTCCCGAGGAGTCATCGAGATAGAAAGTGGAGGACAAAAAAGGCGGCAAATTGCATTTTCCATGTTTTTATGTGTTTCGGCGGCCGGGCGCAATAATGGCCAGGATCATCTAGCTGATTACAAAAAAAGAGCAAACAGGCGGGGGCGTTTTACATTCGAGCTGCTGCAAATCCCATCCGAGATTGATGGCTGCTTCAACAAACGTAATCAACAACTGAGCCAGCTGTACCGATTTTAGTGCCTCTTTTGAGGCGTTAAACCCGAGAATACGGACCAGCGATGTCTCCGTCCGACCAACTCTCTAGAGAGAGCGGCTCGAGCTATTTTGCCGTCGGTGGTGCGTGCGTGCGCCGTCTTATTTGATTTGCACCGGGCTAATTTGATCAGCGGCCGGCGCCTCAGCGCCAGACCAACAGATTTGTGCGGCTTCTTCTCTGCTTGTCGACCACGCCAATCAAACAGCAATATTTCATGAGCTAACGCGATAAGGTGGATCTTCTGTTGAGTCAAATTCACGATAGAGGCAATTCTGCATCGTTGGAAATTGCCAAACCCGCGTGTTTACTTTCAAAGTAGATTTAGTGCGAAAGTCTGAACCGACTTCCAATGCAAATTGCAGATAGGTAAACCCGATATAAGTCAATAAACTACATACATAAACAAGAAAATGTCTGCAATTCCCAAGATAGATTTAAACTTACACTAATTTCCCTTTCAAAGAGGCACATTTATTTAGAAACTAAATATCAACTCAATCAAACTGCTTAGTGCTGACAAGTTTTGAATAATTAAATGATTACATTATAAACTCGTAATTATTACCATAAAAAATATCCCTTTTTAAGAGTACTTTGGTATAATATCATATCACTGACAAACCCGTTTTAAATCTAATCTTAAACATAAAATCGCGTCATTAAAAAGAATTAAATACTCGGTCATCCGAATTTCAGTGAGTTGTTCACTAGCACTGTGTGCCTATTTTTCTCCCCACCAATTTTTCACAATTGACTGTTTGACTTGTTCGGAGAAAAATAAATTGAATTTAATTAAACTTAATCTTAAGCAGCCCTAAATAAATTCATTGTAAGTCCAATATTATCAAATTCTAAATTCCAAATTTATTGAACCTAAATTATTTCTCATAAATGAAAAAAAAATTTATTAGTTGTTCACTTTTCTTTTTTCATTCTAATCGCTGAACTTTGGAGTCCAGAAAATAAAATACTTTGACTTAAACAAACAGAGAAGCAAAAGTGTTCCTTGCTGGCCTCTAGTTTTACAAAAGGGCGACCAAGCGCTCTGGCATCAGCGGAATATTTTATATCTCCACAATGGTCCTCGCACATTCGCTGGTCATTTCGGGTGCCGCACCATAAAGTAGCCGCGAGAGAGCCGGGGGACGTTATTCGGGATTGCCTGCGAGAATATGTAACTCCATTTTATACCTGATGCCCCCGTTCATAATGCATGTTTATCGGCGCGAGCGAGCGAGGCACCCTCGCTACGCACCGTGAAATTCGGCGAGGCACAAATTTTAAGATGCGGACAGCGACCCGTCGCAATAAATAATATTTTATATCTCTCCAATAAAATCGACTTTGCAAATTTGGCTGTTTACCCGCTCGCTCCCTCACATAAATACGCGCATAGGCAGCCAACGGAGCGCGGCCGCACAAAATTTATGCGCAGCATTTCCTTTCACACAGATTTAATAACTCTCTCCGTTCTTTGAGATTTATATTTCGCCTCTTTCTGCAGCATCAGCGCGAAAAATCGACGGCGCCGCCGCCGCGATCGGCAACTTTCCATTTGCAAACTCGCAGGCAATATTCCGTTCCATGAATAAATAAATAGCAACACACACGCTATTGCATGCAAATCAACTCTCATGTGATGCTCTCACCGCTCCGACGAGTTGCAATTTACGTTTTAAACAAATTCAACGCGAGTTCGTCGCTAATAAGCTTGTTTGCAAATGCAGCGCCGGATTAAAGTACAGCTCGCTTTTCATTCGACATCGGTAAAATGCATGTGCTATTTGCAACTCTAATATTAAATAACGAATTCCAATGCTTCTGCTGATTTTATTTTTGCAAATTGCTATTCCCTGCTGCTAGACCAACAAGGTGAGATAAAAGTTTTAGTAATTAATGGAGGCAATGGCAAAGGGTTTGTATAGTGGGCAGTTTTTTTAATATGAATATTCGGTTATTTTCCTTTTGAAAGTCGTTTTGAAGTTTTCTAAATTATTCTGGAATGTATTGTGTTGATTTTGTTTAATCTTTTATCCCTTTTATCCATTCAGAGATTTGTGTTAAGAGTATTTCACAATTTTTATAAATAACACAACATCCTAGAGAATTTTCTTTTTCAAGACAAAATTATCAACAAAATTATAATTAATTATTTATATACAATTTAAAAACATTTTCATGCTCATTAAGCTAGACATTAATTTAGTAGGTACAATCAAGTACATAAATAATGAATAAAGGATTTTAATTTTAAGTAATAAAGTTTCCAAAATGAGAAACTCTTGCAATTTTTTTTTTCTTAATTTTTAGTAGTTTAGATTTTTGTCAGAGTAAGCACTTTTACCAATATATTTCTCAAAAAGTTTTCAAAATCAAATATAACAAAAATAGACTCATTAAACACCAGAGGTAGTGTCGATGCAGCCATTCACTAGCTCATGCTCGTCCATATATGTAGAGTAATTAAAAGTTGAGTAAATCTGCAAATAAAACGATGCATGAGTGCGTTTTGCGAAACTCGCGGCTCGGAAAACGCGCTCCGCACACACAGAAGTTGGAGCTGCTCAGGCGGGCACCATTGTGCGAATTCCCGTCGGTAAGTGGTCTCACACGCGCGCAATAAAAACGGCTGTAAAAACACAGGTTTACGCGAGCACTATCTTAATTAATATCTCTCGCAATAGGAATTAAAACATCGGTCGGCGCGGCGCGGTCTCGTTAGCCAAACTCATTTCGGGCCCAATTCATCTCTCGGATGAGAAAAAGTAGGCGGAGGCTCGAAAGAGAGATGAATCATCGCGTTTTCATTCCGGCGTTAGTCAGCAGAATGAAGGTACTAGTCGTATGTAAATGCGCTGCAATCTCGCCGCCTCTCGACGGTGCTGTGTGCATTAATCATCTTTTTTAAATGCTGCCGACCGATATAATATAATAATGATCGTGACGATGACAGCCGACAAAATGAAATTAATTGGCTGCGGGTGGTGTTGATGCCTTTTTATTTCACATGTCGAACGTCCAGCCGTCCGTTTATTTTCGTTTCCAATTGCCCCAGATTAAAATGATGCACCGCAGCTGTCGCCGCAATCAGACAATGGGTGGGATGAGTTTGTGCATTGTTGCTGCCCAGAGAGTTTATTGTGGTCTTAAGTTTTGACAGCTCGCTTCGTCTCTAAGACAATACGTCCGTTATTTTTTGACGAGTACAATTAATTTCTTTCGAAACTAAATACGAGTCGCACAAACTTAGGACTATATTTTCATTCAAAATAAATTATCGATGATTTTTATTGTAGTTTTCATTGCGTGGGAAAGATATAAAATTAACATAGCCCTACCATATTAAATTTAATAAAGACAGATATGCTGTCATATTGTTTTATAAGTACAATTTCTAAAAACTGAAAGCATTGTGGATCAGGAGAAATGCAAAACTGCCTTCTTGATATATAGTAAATTAATTTTATTAAATTATTTTGTCTTTTCTTCTAACGAAAATATATTTATAAAATAATTTTAACCAACCAAATAAACTAAATTGAAGAATAACATAGCTAATATCAATTTTGAAAAGTTTTTTGTTAATTAATTTTCATGGTTGTTGTTTTCATGTTTCATTAATTCCCACATGGATGTCTTTAGTTAAATAAAATAAAACTAATAAATTCACTGCCTATTTTTGGGCCATGAATTAAATGTATGAACGAGGAAATAAAACAATTTTCCCCAGCAGGCTTGTTTTGTTTGTTATTCAATTAAGTACAGACAGGACATCTGTTTTGTAGAGCCCATTAAAGTATGTTTTGAAAAATTATATTATAAATTTTCTGTGTATATTTAAAACTATTATGAAACAATGAAAACAAACACATTTTCATTGGAGAATCATTCATTGACCGTTTAAAATTGGGACTGATTGGAACCATCATTTTGTTATTTTAGCTAATTGCAAATTTTGAATGAAAAACATTCAGTGTAATAATTGAGAGCGACCAAATAAACATCACAAGCCTGGGCTTCACTTATGTTTTCATTAATTTATCACATTGCTCTGCAAAACACGATAAACTTGGTACAACAAAATGAACCAGTGAATTAAGCAAAATTCAGCATGTGCGATCGATAAAATGTTTACGGTCCACACCGCGAGTGCACGGCTTAATCGTGGCACGGGTAATTACTTTAATGCATCCCGCGTCGCGCATAGATATTGAAATAAAAGCTCCTATTTTCTCATTCAGTGGACCTGCCTGAAATCGATATTTATTTTTCGCTGCACTACGACTCGAATTAAAGCACAAATTGAAGCGGCAGTAAAATAATTATTATTCGCGTCGTAATTCCTGGTTGAGTTAAAAGTGTGCGTCTGTTCACCAATGGTCGGGTTAGTTTCACGCCACATGCAGTTAACCAGCAGAATTTTATTGACATTCTGTGTTGCAATTAATGAGTCGGAAAATTTTCACTAGAATTCCCGCCGCCGAGCTGCAAACGTCACGTAATAATAGCAAAGGAGAGCAGAGAGCGGAATTCTGTCCGAATTAGTATTTAATAAATTGGCGCTACATACATATAATAAAAAGAAGAAAAAAGAACATTTTTGCTTCAGCAATGCATGTGAATTAATCAACGCGGCACATATTGTGAAGTTTGTTGGTGCTTCGATTGTAATAAATTGCAGAGTTTGCACATGATTTTCTTTTTCAATTTTATCACATCACAATTGATTTCAACACTTTGCTACAAGGCTTCAATCAACAAATAAGGGTTCTTTGATAAATGGGAAAAATGTCATGAAAATATGGAAAATATATAGTAAAAATACTAAATGTAGCGCAAGAAATTTCCTTTACTTGAAATCAAAACAAGGAAATATTTTACTTACAACGGTACCAGTTTTGGTGACGGTCTGTCATGCTTGTATAATTTGTACTGAAATAAAATTTCTAAATCTGCCCGATTGATTTTTTATCATATTTAAAAAATTGCAGACATTTTTTATGCAAGGAAGTGACATTTTTGTATTCAATAAGTGGTTGTCACTTCATTCCCAAAAGGTTTTTAATAATATAAAATTTTAGAGTTTTTAAATTATATATTATTTTAGAAGTAATTTCCTCGTGATATATCAATAAGGAAACTTTGTAATAAAAAATGAGGAATATTTTGATTGATGAATAAAACCCAAATTATTATCATGTTCATATACGTTTCACAACTTCCAAAATTTTTCCTCCAGTTATCAATAGCTCAGATTCTGTGGAATGAAAATTTAATTGGCATTATTGTCTCTTTTGTAATTAATTTACTCTCCGAAAGCAAAGAGTTGCCTTGAAGCATTATTTGCAAAGTTCAATCAAAATGGCTCCTTGCCATTTGCTCAAGTTCAAAACATGGTTCCACGCAGCGCTCCAAACAATTACCTCCTTTGTGTGCTCTTGTTGATTCAAAATTAATGACTCGCGATTTTCCTCCTCAGTCGAAGTTTGTTTGTTGTTTTCAAACAAGCGAAAAATCAGCAAAACCGAGAGGGTTTGGAGGAAATTTCGAAAGCTGCTTATTTGCGGCTTTTCCCAGAGTGATTTGGAAACACAGTGTGTGACCCCCCACGGAGGGCGGAAAATCAAGTCAGGGGAAGGGTTCAATGTAAGCTAATGAGACTTTTCACTCACCGAGGATCTCGAGGGTGTGCGTCTGTTCCTTGTTCTCAGCCGAGCCAATGGAGCAGACGTAGTCGCCGGCGTCCTGAGGTCGCACGTTGCGGATTTCCAAATTGTGGCCGTCGATCAGGCTGAACCTGTTGTCGCGGGTGATCATCAGGTTGCCGGCGGTCAGGACCACAGCACCTCGCCGCCACAGAACTACATACGAGCCTGCAATTAAAAGCAAAACGGTCAGTTGGTTAGTCCTTCGGGGATGTCTGGGAAAATGAGATTGGGATTCTCAGAGAGGCTTTTGTCTCGGAGGATAAATGCCACACCAAATTTTGGGGCAAGAAACTTCCTGTTTCAACGTGAATAGCAGGTTGTATTTAAATATATTTTTGAAATTGCGTGTAAAAATTTAAATTATGTAAATAATCTATAATACATTAATTATAACAGCTAATTTTGTTCTCAATTTTATGGCACTAGTAACCCTTCGATAAAATATTTATTAATATAATTACTTTCAGAATTATTAAAAAATAACTTTCAGGCATTAAATTAAAAAAAAATTGTTATTTTAGAGACAATAATATAGTTATATTTTTACAAATGCATTTTATTGAGCATTAAAAATTAATTTCATGATAAAAATAACCATGATTTTGCAACGTGAAATGAGTTTCATTAAAATTCAAGAACAAAAATATTATTATAGCGCAAAATAGCGATCTAAGTGAAAAATGCTGTGGTGACGACCATTAATTGTGGCATAAAGTGCTGCGAAATAATTATATTTTGGCCCAAGACAGCTCCATCTGTTAACATTATTAACACGCACGTGCTCCAGTGCGCAGACCGAGCTGGTTTCTGCCTGGGTAATTCATCCTGGCCGATCTTGCTTCCGTTTCAGCCAGAATATTAAATGCGCGTGAAATATGTTTTAATCAGTCACTGTCATAAAAACACACCGGCATCGCAACCGGGCGGATATTATCCGCCGTAAAAACTGGCGAAATGAGCCCACCTTCATGAGCTTGTTTTGGGTGATCCAACACTTTTTTCGCAGCTTACCGCAGTGAAATTCACAGATGACGGATTCGCCTAGCACGTGAATGAGCAAATTAATGCGTCGTGTGCTTTACGGTAGTTGAATTAAAAATATAAAAAAGGCAAAAGACAGTGGATGGTGATGCAGACAAGAATGGTGCTTCAATCTTACGCGCTTTGCATATTAACGTATTTTAATGTTTGATATTTACTATTACCAAAAATAAGACTCAATTAATTGATAATTTAAATAATATTGATCAAAATTTGAATTTCCTTCGATATTATTTAATTGTTATGAGCAATTAAAATATGTGCAATTATGTACACAGTATATTTACATTTTCTATGTCTTTTTTAACATGATTTTAAAATTTAAATAATTATCTCATACGATCATAAAGATATATAAAAAGAAAAAAAATGTGAAAGAAATCTCCAAAATAAAATTTATATAAAAAATTGCTTAACAAGAATCAGTTGTTATTCATTTTTCTGTTAAATTTTTAATAGAATAAAACAGTAAGCAACTATAAATATGATAACTGGGATCACTTAGTGGGGCTTAATTGGTTTTCACCTTTCCTGAACTTCAAGCGTGCCCTGGACGCTGCAACTTATATTAATGAAATACAGTAGTTGACAATGTCGTCTGTTTATTTTCACCGACCCCATCTCCAATTTCAGGACCGCAGAGCGCGCATAATGGCCACTCACAATTAACAAAAACAGAAACAAACGAGGGCGGAATTCTCATTTGCAAATTAGCCCGCGATTAATTAGCATTAGCCGCGGGGTGATAATAAATTCGGTGGCGCGGGTGCCGAGTTTGCAGGGTGCAAATAGAAATTTATAAGAGGCACGCGGAAAGGCGTTATACAAATCAGCCGCGAGATATACGACCAGGCACTAAATGCCCCGCTAATGGCTGCGTCGTCGCGATTTATAACTCGGAACATCACACGCGCGGCGGACAACTTGAGCGTTTATCACGTGTGCTATAGAACGCTTTTGCTTTAGCCAAAGTTGCTGTTGCTGGGGCCGCACTTACTTGATTCATGGACGAAGCCCCCTCAGCGCACTGCAAGTAATTCCGCGCTCTCCGTGTCTCGTCGCGGAAGCAGCGCTTGTAAATCGTCTCGCCGACGAAGTTTGCGAAAATTTAATGCTTCAAGGCCCTGCTCTGTTCATTTGCATACACATGTGTGCAGAATTAAGCTTATGTATGAGAAAGAAGCCTTGGCCTCGTTTTCAGTCATTTTCAAAACGATGCTATTCTTTTAAGCCCAAAACAGTGGCTCCTTTTTTCAAATAACTAATTTGCTAAATAAATATATAAATATTTTTTATAATGCCAATCTTATATTTAACTAAAATAGAAATATAGAGCTGCTGTTTTGAACTTGAAAATTTTTATCTAAAAAAAAATTAATGCCAACAGCGGCCAGGTGGCTGAACTATTTTGTATCCCAGTAAAGTAGGGTAAGTCTTCTTTTGTTATGTTTTAAATGCAACTATGGTCCACCCGCACTAGTCGCTAAATTATTAACGGCCCAACACAAGCGTGGGCCAGCTGTTCTTTAATTCATCGTCGGTCCAGACGGTTGAATGTGAATATTTGATGATCCGGGCAAAAGCCGCTTGGCCATGTCAAAAATGCGTGCATGTACATCAGAAAGGATATAATAATGAGAGGGAGTAAAAAGGACTCGCATAGTTGGTGTAATGTTGCTGCGGTCGCACGTGGGAAGTTCAGCGGCCAGCAGCAGGCGCCACTCGCGTAAGCTATGATTTTTCCGCAAAATAAAAAACCATAACACAGAGAGAATTTATTTCAACTTGCATTTCACAGCTGTTGCGCTCATCCGTGGTTGGATTTCGCAAAACGTTTAAGCGGCCAAGCATTAAATAATTCAAGAGCGGCGTCAACGCTCCCTGCTATGGTAGGCGGGAGCAGTGAGTTATTGCGGAACAATTAAGTCGGCACATGACGTAGATTTGCGCTGTTTTTTCTCTCTGGTGACACATTTGTTTATTAAAAATGCTGGCGAATGGAATTAAAAAGCGCATTAGGCTTGTGGAAATTCAGCGTCAGTTTAAGCGCGGAGTCAACATAATGAGAATGTAGTGCGCACCAGAAGCAAAAAATGCAACCAAGCTTAAAGTATTTTCTTAATTTCACATGTATTTTATTAATGGCACACAAAAATTTACTGACGTAATGACTATTTTAATTTAATAAAAATAAGAAATTTTAAACTTTTTCTTATAGAAAAATTTAACTTTAGCACAAAACTAAGTTAATTTTTTAATTTTTTTTTTTCAGTGTGCTTTTGAGTCGTTCATTGTTTATTATTATTTTAACAAAATTATTATGATAAAATTCATCTTTTACATCTGCCGGAAAATCAGTTTTTGTGTGCAACATTTAACGACTCAAAAACTCATCAAGGAAAAGCCGACTTTAATTTCGTGAATTGTGAATTTATTATCAATCGTTAAATGTTCTAAAAAATAAATTTATGCTATTTTAATTAACTATAAAACTGATAAATTTATTAATGAAAAGACAAAAATCAGCAGTAATTTGTTTAAACCAAGCAGTTTTTAAGCATTAAAAAACCATCAAAGAACAAAGGAACATTGCTTAAAACTCTTCTTCGCCCATTACTCTCTGAAATAGATCTGAGAGTAAATTTCTCGGAACAACTAAATCTGGGTCAAACCTCTCGTCTTAAGAGTAGTCGGAAAACTGTATAGTACAGATACTGAAGGCGCGAAAGTGCATAAATGCTATACACACATTTCCTTGTTTTCCCCAGGCCCTGGTGGGATTTTAATCCAAACTCGCCGCAGACCTCCGGCGGCCAAGTGTGCATCCCCTCTGCGCATACGAGGTGGTCCTTTTCCAGCATACGTGCGAGTAAAAGAGCAAATACGTGCAAGTAGCAGATTAGACATTCAAGTGTAGCAGCAATACATCTATCTCCAGTCGGTTAGCGCTCAAGTAGAGCGCTTATCGCGCACCCCGGAGGCAAATTCGCGTGCCCAATGACGAGGAAAACGCCAATTAGAGGCGAACGCGCGCCGCCGAGCTGATTGTTTCCGAACGAGAGAAGTTGCAGCCTTTTGCAGGTGGATTAGCCACGTGCGGATTTGTCCGCCTCTCCTGTGGGATTATATGAGCGGGGATTTTTGTTTCATCCCGGGCTTTGCACACACGGCGAATAAGAGCTTTCGAAAAACTCACATATGTATACATTTTCAAACAAACCTTTTGTGCCGCGGGAGATTCTTTACAATCCAAATTAATTCCTGATATTTCACTGAGCCGGAAAATAGCGCGCAGAAAACATGCCCAGAGCTAATTGAAGCAGAAAAGGAAAATTCTGCTTCGTCCGTGGTGAATAAAATCAGGCTGCTTTTTGTAATGAGTTCATTAGCAGTTACTGCCGGCGCATTCAACTTTTGCCACGACAGCAAAAGAAAAAGACGTTGTATACTAGCAATGGTTCTGACACAAGCTGGAAATGTTTTGCAAGTATTAAACAGGAAATCCGAGCTGAGAGCAACACTATGAACCGGCGCTCCCGAAAAAAAAACATGCAACGAGAGCAAGCGGCGGAAAATGGCGCAGACAAGAGGTGCTCATATCCTGCGAGAGCAGAGGCAGTCCATTTACTGTGCATTATTCACGGTGTACGTTCTCTGCAAAAAAAACACACAGTTTTCTATTTCACCTGGCAAAGTGAAAAACTCTCGAAGTCTCGCTCGCTCGCTCTCATGCTGTGATGAAATATTTTTTGGCGCGATTTTTGTTTCGCGAGTAATTTCAGGCGCAGGGAAACCGTTGTTCATGCAGAGCACGTCGGTGTTTTATTATATATCCCCATCGCGGGGGCAAAAAGACGGAATTTTCAACAAGTACGAGAAGCACTACTTGGCGGCCGAGCCAAGCAACCAGCCGGCAGATATCACATATTGTTTTTAGCCAGGCTCAGCGGCGACGGTGGCTTTTGCTTCGCCATACGTGAGTTGGCACGGCAATTTCCAGCAACCAGAATGAGGTCAATTCCCATGCTCCCGTGAACAGAATCATCCTTGATTAAACCACCCCGCAAAGCTTTTCTGCGCGCTGATTTGAAATTGCAAATTACTCCTTTAATTATGGCTCTCTT